TATAATTATTTTCCTTTTTTCCAAGGTTGAAAAAAAGATGATTGTATTAAAGTTCTTTATAAGACTTGAAATTCAGGAATGAATAGGTTTTGCTACAGTGGTATCAAAGAAGAAACTGACTACTTAATCCTTGTATATCCAGTTCTGAGACTATTAGTTTCTGTCTCACAGGTTGTATAACAAGCTAACTCCCATGGATTTGCCTGCATCAGTTTTTCAAAAACAATCCCAAGTTCCTTAATTTCCCTAAAAAATTTTAGTCATTCATTCTAGATTCTTTTGAAGTGGGACACAACAGAACTTTAAAAACGTGTTGAAATGCCTTATTGATTCAGTGAGGTGTAACTTCCTATTAGTTTTGCAGCTGTCACCACTTCATTTCGAAACGACGTAGATTAAAGAAGGCACATGAGCACCAGTTACTTAGATATACCCTGAGCAAGGTCATATGTTTCAGGCTGATTAAAGCAGTTGTGTCAGGATGCTGGAGACTGGGTGTTGCCAAAACAACAATGCAGTTTTGCCTACAACAACATTATTTATTTATTTTTGTCTGTGGAAGGGCTGTTCTTCTTTTGTTGGGAATAAAGCTGAAAAAGTGTGGCAGCATAGCTAGTACAGCTGACCAAGCTTTTCTCTTGATTCTCAAAGGAAAGTGAAAGGGGAAAAATACAGACCAATTTGGATTGTGTCATGAAAGTGGCCTCTCACATAACCTTTCACCAGCAAGGCTTGGCTCAAATAGACAGGGCAGCAGCCAGCGTTCTGGGAGTTGCTTGGTATAGCCTGTGTTGGGGCAATTCTTGAAAATTCTCCTATGTCAGATAAACAGTGAATCATTCTTCAATTAATCTGAGAGTTTGTTTTCAGTTACGAAAAAAAACCATTATGAATTGTGCATGCCCCATAGGTCAGGTCGGAAGATAAACATCTTTGTTTCTGAAAAATGCTTCGATCCATTTTTTCTTTTTCTTCTTTGAAGGTGTTCTGACAGCATCTCTTTCTTTGGTTCTAAAAGGTTGTCCTCAGTGAATGAACGAGGATCTCTGAAAGATAAACATTGGAGAACTTGGTGGAAGAATCGCTTATATTATCACATTATTCCCTTAATTTATATCTTTGGGGAAACTGTTAGACCAGTGTTATTCCTTGAATCTGCTATAGTTCAAATGCAAAAAGCATTACAGCTTTACAGTATGGGGCATAGTTGTATATGTGGCAAAAACATTTTTGGACTTTGAAAGAATTTTTCTGGACACTTTTTTAATGATGTGGCTAGCAATGGAGGGGAGGAACAGCACGGAGGAGGATGAAGAAGTCATACACGGTCTTTCTATAATATAGGTTTTTGGTGTGTTGCATAATTCCCTACTATTGGCATGTTTACTTGTGCTAGGCAGCAGTAGTTAAAATTTCCATTGATTCTTACGGCAGCCTGATCTAGTACTCTTGCACTGAATGCAGATCATATTAAGCAAAAATAAATGTAAGCAGAATCATAGAATGGCCTAAGCTGGAAGGGACCTTAGAGATCATTTTAATCCAGCCTCCCTGCTGCCAGGGACGCCACCAGTCGACTAGGTCGGGCAACACATGGGTAAAGGTAAGTCACCTTAGAACTTATATGACCATGATGAAATGGGAAATTCTCTGTTTGTCTTAAGACCAACTCCAGCTTGCTTGCTGTCCTCTGAGATGTGAAAGTCACATATACAGGTAGCACCTGAGGATGAGATTGCTCCCCAACAGCCTCTCTGCCGGCTTGCTCCCAGCCCGCATGTCACAATGAGCCAACAAGCAGACATGGCCCCGCTCATCCTCACACCCAAGGGACTGCAGCAGGGCAGAAGGTAAGCAGTGTAATCGCATTTATGCAGTGCTGTTGCAGAGTTAATTTGCTATGCTTGGCACCATGCACAGGGTTGCAGCCATGTGGCACAGTACTCTGGGAGCTTCCTGACTGAGGCTTGGAGACAACATAGGTGCCTAGACCAGGCTGATGGTTAAAGACAGGCCCAATGGGAGCATTAAATTTCCCCATGCTTGATGCAGGGTATGTATGAACTGGCTGCTTGGTGTTTTTCTATGTAAAATAACACTGGGTGTCTCACCATCACCACTGCATCTACCAATGCAGGTTGGGTCAAGTTCTGGTTAAAAAACCCAAAGGGCTGGCAGCGACTCCGAACATGACCTACACAACACAAGTGCTTCACCCTGCTCACTGCAGCAGTGCAGGCTGCTGGAGTGGGAGGGGACCATTTCTTCTTCCTCCCCTCTTCTCCCCTCTCCTCCAACTGTAGCCAGGGTGTTTTGTCAGCCTCTGTTTAATACGCATACTTCTCCCTTGGCTGTTCCCCAAACTCAAACGAGTGCACTAATTTCCTCAACCAAGGGCTTGTCTAAACAACGGTGTTTTGGCTGCTTTAACGACTGTTGTTCAAGTGCTAAATCCCCTGAAGCCTCATAGAGTTACATTAGTACAAACATTGCCTTTCAGGATGTAACATCTGCTTTAAAGACCTCTTTAGAGCTCTATACCAGCATCTGGGGTAGCATGGAATTCAAGAGTGGTAGGTTCAGCTTGAAATTGTTGTGGGACATGTAACGCATTTTCAAAGGCAAACTTATCTGTGGTGGCTTTATAGGAACTGAAATACTTCTGAGGGAAATTGTTGATTGTAGGCCAGTTGATGTCAAAACATATATCAAGCTACTTGAATATTTCCTGATAGATTTTTTGTCCTAGTGGGCTGAAAGTGGTCAGGATGTTTGGTGGGGTCGTGCTGGCATGGAGTGACTTGGTCCTTTTCCTGGCCCAAGTCCTTACCCGAGATCTCCAGTGTTGCAGAGGTTACTCCTGTGCAGGATGGTTATTATAAAGTATATTTACCTGCTAAGATATTAAAGGACTTGTCTATACCAGAGCAACTCTACTGAAGTAATTACGTTGGCAAGGCCTCCAAACGCTATAGCAACCTTTCCCTCAGCCTGCTTTACACAGCCTCTGTGCCTGAGCAAAGAGTGGCAAAGCAAGGTGTCCATAACTAAGTCCACAGAGGGCTTTTGCAAACACAGGTGTCTCAGTCTCATCGTATTGCGTTCCCTCAGACCCCTCTTAGGAGCAGCTTGAGGAGGTTCCCCTCCCCAGCTGCAGGGTGCGTATTGCCCTCTACAGTGCTGGCAAAACTGTGGGTCTGCACAAGTTTTCTGGTGCTTTATTCCCTCCCTCTCTTATTCATTAATTGCTTCGGATCACCGCCCTCCTTACAACTGTCCACGACCTATCTCCTTGGCAACGGCAGAACTTGTTTATGTGATGGTAATAAGGAAACTAATTGATGCTTAGCAGCTGCAGACACACAAGGGAGCCATGTTCCACTAGCAGACTTTTGAAAAGCAAGTCTCTGCTTATGCTGACTGATGAAAGGTTAGATGGCATAAACAATTTAAATTTTTTTTTTATGTGAGGGTGGTCAGGTACTGGAACAGGTTGCCCAGAGAAGCTGTGGACACCCCCTCCCTGGAGACATTCAAGGCCAGGCTGGATGGAGCTTTGAGCTACCTGGTCTAGTGGGAAATGTCCCTGCCTATGGCAGGGGGGTTGGAAACAGATGATCTTTAAGATCCCTTCCAACCCAAACCATTCTATGACTCTATGAAAACCCACCTTCTTCCTCTGTGAGCTTCCAAAGTTGTCTTCCTGTATTCACAGCAGTGGTAGGAAGATTGTTTCGTGCTCATATGTGTATTTTTATGGAGTTTGTTAGTCTTTTTTTATCACCAACGTGTAGAGTTTGAGAAGCAATAGGAAAATTGGTAAGTCTTGCTTTTTTCGTATTTTGTGGAATAGTGTGCTGGTGCCCTGTGGCCTGCCAGGCCCATCTCCTCTCCTGTCTCAGCCCTGACCCTGCTTATAGCCATGGGACGCTCTCATCCATATATTGAGACTTCTGCTGCTCCCTGCCCTTCACTGCTGCTGCCCCTTGTGCTGGTGGGAATGGCCGATAGGCCTGTCCGGCCTAGCTGGCTGTTCGACTTGGTTGGGTGTCCCTGGTCCTCCAGAAAGAGCTGTGGAGGCCCCATAAACTGCTTGTGTGGCCATAAATGTGGCAGGATCATCAGGTGGGACCTCTCACCAGAGAGGGCAGCATGCCTGGCTGCTGACCCAGGGCTGAGAGCTTGTGGCCTGGGTGGGATGGCAGCGGTGGGGCCTCATGGGGACTCTTTGGAAAAGGGCTGTGGTGCAAGTGTAGCCTGAGCACACCCCCTCTTGTGGGTTTGAGGACCCATGCCAGTGCCAGGGGGGCCATGCTGGGGGCAGGGGGCACCCTGAACTGTGAAATCTTCCCTGGGGTGTTAGCACACATGAGCAGCAGTGTCTGGGAGGCCCCTGGCAAAGAGATGCTCATGTCAATACGTATCTCTGTGATGACAACTTGGAGAAGGGAGGAAATATTTCTGTGTACCTTTGGCTTAGTGCGTACTTTGAAGAGGCAGTGTGGATGGATGATGATTTTTCCATTTTTTACGGACTCGGAAATAGTCCTGGAAGAGCAGTTCTGGAAACTTTTTCCATCATTGAAAACTGTCTTCCCCACCCACTCAGTGCAAATGGCTTTTCCTGGGGTGTGCTTCATCATCAAGTTCCAGTTTTGGTTTGAGTTTCTTTCTCTTGTTACTAGGTACCTACCTTGGGTGACTTTCTTGGGAACTAGCATCTGTAAATAGCCTTTCCCAAGTGAGAAACCTCTTGCAGTTGCATGCCCTATGTTTTGAAATGGAATTCTACCAAAATTGTTACAGCATTGAAACTTCAGTTAAGTCAGCTGAAGTTGTATATACTCTTCATTTCTTACACTGTATCAAGTGAAATGCTTGGTGCTACTTTGATAACTAGCTGTGATGTGATTTAAAACTTGCTTTAACTTCCTAAAAGTTGCGCTAGACTAAAGCACTTTCTGCAAGTTTCACTGTCCATGTCTTGAGTATTACAGGCTATGGATTCTGAATCAAGGAACAGTTTAATAGGAAGCTTTCTTCAGCCACCAGATAAGATGTTTCCTGCAGCCTTTGCTTATATAAAATCAAAAAAGTTGGCAGCTGCTGGTGGTGACAGGTCTTCTACCCCCAATAAACAAGGTAAAGTCAAAATATGCCTTTAAAGTGGTCTTTTTAGTTGTTCCCTGTGAAATCTCTTGATCAGACAGACTCTCTTTTCTATTTTACTCAGTTCAATGACTTGCTGAGATTATCAGACTGACATTGAGACAGGATGTATATGTGTCCTGAGGGAGTAGTCTCCCTGAAGTCATATGTCTGGAATGGAAACTGCTGCGAGTCTTCTAACATCCTTATAAACTTTGGCTTTGAAATTTGTTTAACTTAAAATCGTCAGACTTCCTCTAAAAGCAAAGGAAAATGCTTCAAACTCAGCAGAAGCACTTCACGACTTTAAATGCAGCAAAAAAAGATCGTTGGTATGGTACGCTGACTTGAAATTGGCTTTGCATAGTGCTGTTTGACTCACTCTAGTTTAAAATCACTTCTAAGGTTTTTTTTGTGGTATGATTCCTTGGAAGAGCTTTTGAATAATGCAGACTCTTAGGAAAGTTAGCAGCGTGAAAGATAGTCTATATGAAATATGAGTCCGCTATCGTTGTTGTGTGCCTTAATATGTGATTACTTTCTGGAGTTTACAGGGCTAATGCTTGATGGCTTAGCATATCTGGAGACCTCAGTGAATCACAAGGATGCCATACCAGGATTTACCATTATGGATAACTTTGCACAGGCATAGCCTATGTGTGTGCATGTGATCATTGTTCTTCATTTGAATTATCTGTGACTTCTGCAGTCTTTTGTCATACAGAGTTTGGGTTTTTTGAATTAAAATGTTCAGTTTAATGTTATGTAGCTAAGTGTTGAAGTAAGGAAATATCTGGCATGCCAATAGAAAGGTAGAAGAATCAGCTCCATTTCATCTTTCTTCTCTATTTTGTCTGTGTTTTATTTCTTTTTGTTTGTTTGCTTTTAAATTTTATTCTAACGGGGCTATGATAAACTGATGAGAGTTGTTAGGGAGCTAGCAGTATTTGATGGGTATTCCTTTACTGAGAGAATTTGTCTAGAAAAGCTGTCAAGGCTTATAAAATGTCAGAAAAGAAGCTTAACTTCTTACAGAACATGTCTTAAACTTCCACAGGTATGTGTACTTTTTGGAGAGCTGGTAGACTTTGCCTTGTAGCTGAAATTGCAACTGGTTTTTTTGGCATAATTTTGACACATACTGATTTGAGGTTAAAAGCAAAATCTCACAGACTTGTTTCTACAATTTAAAAATTCATCAAATACAAGAAACTAGACACTGAATCATTACCTTTTGAAATAGTAAAGCTTTTTAAATGCATCCTCTACTAAACTGTCCCTTTTTATCTGATTTCCCCCCATCCTGAGTCCATTGTTTGGGGTTTTTTTTGTCTGTCCACACCAGTTGCATTATACCATCGTGACCTAACTTGGATACCTGTGTTCCCTGCTTCTGTGTACAGAGAAGTCAGAGAGTTTGTTATACTCAGTTTGCCATAATTTCTTTGTACTTGCTGTCATTTGGAATGAAAATAGTTTTGTTCATAAGACCCATGCTTCAGCTGTGCAGTAAACATGTCCATTTTCTCCCAGATACGTTCTCCGTGTGTTAGTGTACTGCTGGGGAAGGTAATCTATTTTAGGGGTGATCCTAGGAAGAAAATTTAGGTAGTATTTTGTTGGTTTAAGTGTTTTGTAAGAATAATAATAGGAAACTGTTACTTAAGGTGTAGCTGTTGCATTGTTTGCTAGCTGTGGTGGCAGCCCTGAAAACTCTTCAAGAAAAGATTCGCCGTCTAGAGCTGGAGAAGTTACAGGCTGAAGATAATCTGCACAGCCTCTCCATAGCAGCTGCTCAGTATAAGAAGGCCTTAGAGCATGAATCCTACAAAAAGGACCTAGCACATCAGGAACTGATGCAACAGAGGAAAGGTATTTCTCTTGACTGATAAGGTGTAGCCACAGCAACTCCAAGACTGCATCATCCAGGGAGTGTTTGTTTATTTTGCCAAACTGCTAATTAACGCACTTTCTGTCCTAACCCTTGACACCCTCCCCTTTCTTTTTTGCTTCAGAACTGGGGAGGGGCAGGAGCCTGATAACTTTAAATCAAGTCCCGATCTTGTTTTTGTGTATTTTAACCAAGTATTGTGTAACTCATAAAGCTATTTTAAAGACTAAGCAGATTTCAGGTGGTATGTTTAACTCCTACAATAAGAAAGCAGCTGTTTACATGTATAACACTGCTAACTTGAGAAAAGTGAGGAGAAGGGAAGAAACTAGATTCTGTTTAGATATCTGCTGATATAAATCAAAGTAACTGCAGTGCTCACGCCTTTGGAATTCATATTAGGGACTAGCTCTGGAAAAATGTCTTGATTCTCATGTCTTATATATAAAAAGTATTTTAACCACATGACTTGTTCAGACTAACAAAACTTTTCTTGCATATTTTCAAGATAGAGAATTCCTTAATGAGATGATAGACTGGCGAAGTGTGTAGGTCCCGTTGCTGTACTCAAAATTTTTGTTTCTTTCTATAGATATAAGCATGCAGTTAAAAGCAGCACAATCTCGCTGCTCCCTGCTGGACAAACAGCTGGATTACATGAGAAAAATGGTTTCCAGTGCAGAACTGGAAAATAAAGTGGTTTTAGAACAACAGGTGAAGCCTTTTACCGTACTAACAAAGTAGTGATACAGTTAAAGAGTATAGAAATGTGTAAGATCTGAACTTTTTAATGGCCATCATTTTTCCTCAGCTCTGCTCAGGGTGGTAGCAAACGGAAGCCATTTAGTGTCTGACTGGCTGCTGACAACCATTTAATGAATTGTATGAAAAGACTCCCTAGGTGGAACTCCTAATGAACAAAACCATGCTAATACTTGCACATTTGGTAGACAAAAAGGCTGCTGGAAACTTAAGTCCTCTTTGTCTGCCTAGTATTTTTCATCACTTTGCAATTTAAAAAATATGGCATTTAAACTAGTAAAACACCTTTACTGTAGTGTGTTTGGTTTTGTGCTGTCTGAAACAATTTCAGTCAGCTGCCAACTCCATTCTCACTTGTTTTCCAGGCCCAGCTTCAGAAAGAGGAAGATCAGAACTGGTTGGAACTGCATGCAAAACTTGAAAAGCTTGAAATTAAGAGTGTCTTCACCTCACTGCTACTCAGAGAATTGCAGAAGTAAGCATTCATGGAAAGACAATCTGAAAGTCGGTAATATGATCTAATTTATATGGCATACTGCTAATAGTACTAAGTTTTGCAAAAGTTTCCTCTCTTAAAGCTTAGATCATAAAGCACACCTAAGTGAATGCAACCTTGGCTTTATTTGCATGGGTCTCTTTTTTCAGTCTGGGCTTTAAAAATTCCTGCACTCCTGTTTTATCCCTGCCTATACAACTGCAAGGTGTTTTGGACTTCTGATTCAGCATGGCAAACTGAAGTGTGACTAACCATTCTTGCCTTCAAATTCAGGACAAGATCAAACACTTAGAAGAAAAGCTTTGTAAAGAGGAGCATCAGCGTAAGCTACTACAAACCAAAACTGCTCAGGTAGACTGAAAAATTCTATTTTATCTTTATTGCTTGTGACTGAAGAATGCTATTCTCTCTGTCCATAGTACCCCTTGCTCAAGGAAGGGCTTAGGTGTAGTAAACTGAGTCCTAAATTAGTATTAGTACTGTCTTAGTTCATTGGTAGATAGATTTATCTCTGTTGGATCTGCGTTGGCAAATAGAAGGTGTGGGATAGTTCATTTCCTTTTGTTGACAGAAAAGCCAGAATAATCTCACTTTCGTGATGGGCTTTCAGCATTGTTTAGCCAGAACTGTTACACATGCCAAAAAAAAAACCCCAACAACTCCTTATCCTGTGTTTAATTGGGAATGGCTATTATCCTCTTTCTCATGAGCCTTTATTTCAACTTGGAACTACAGAGCAATCTGAGGATTGTCTGGCAGGTTTGACCTCAATGTAACACAAATGGGCTCAGTTGTCTCTGCCCCCAGACTGTAAGATCCAAATGTTCATATTCTTTGGGTTTTCTGATCAGATCCTCAGCATGCAGCAGGATTGGCTTATCTCAGTTGCTGATTGTCACAGTGGGAAAATACAACTGCAGCAGCTGAATGTGAAAATGAGGACTTCTAAGAGCTGCAAGATCTGCCTGATACCATGCTGTCCTAGTAATCCATTCAGTTTTTAAGTGTAGCTTATGCCTTCCAAGCAGGACAGTTAATAGTGCCATTAATTGGTTCTCATCCATGCATGACAGAGGGAATTAATTAAACTGAGTGATTTCACAGTTGTAATATTACATTAAATGGTTGTTTTCTTTTTTGCTTATTCCCACAGCTTCAAACAGGATTTGAGATAACTAGAATTTTGATGTCTCCAGTAACACCTCAAAATGAACCTAAAAAGGAAAATTGGAAGAAGAAAAAAGCTAAGAAGGTAACATGAAAATTTTTATTAGCATACTATTGCTTCTGACTTGCACAGAGATTGGAATTTGTGAAAAATGATGATGTAAGAGGCATTTGATTTGCTTGCTGCCCTTTAGTCCCTTTCCAAAGTGACAAACAATGCTGAATGCTTTTTTTTTTTTTCCTTTGGTAATTAAAACTGTGCCAGGGCTGGTAGCAGTTTGCTGGAAAACTTTCCCTTACCAGCATGACAATAACCTCTGTTAAAGTCTTACTGCCATCCCTCAAGTCCTGTCTTAGCCACCTTTCAGTTTTTCTGGCAAAATTAGTTTCCAGAGCAATTTTAACTAGGCACCTTAAAATGATGTGTTTTGGAGTAATTGCTGACATCAAGAGAACTAATTTTGCAACCCATGTTATAGGTCAGTCAAAATTTTGCAACTGTGGTTTTGTAAACCTAACTAGGCAATTCAGTTTCTTTAATGTCAACCTGATTGTCAAACTATCTGCTAAATACATCTGCAATGAAATTTACTCGTCTCTTGGAAAGTCCTACTCCTTCCACATTCAAGAGGGAAATTGTTATTTATTTATTTTTTAAACCAGAGGGAAACTGAAATGACACATTTCACTGCTTGTTTACATATTGTTTTACATATTTATATAAAAAATGAAGTTTGTGCTGTTGAATCAGCAGACTGGAGTTTCTTATATTACATTTTCTGTCCATCCTATGGCAGAGAAGTCCTACAGTGAAGAAAATGCCCCTTTCACAATTACATGTGAAGGCTGGAGAACTACCTTTTGTGGCTGGAAAGGTGAGTGAAACCAAATGTTCTTGCTAAATTAGCATCTACATTTTGAAAAAGTCTGTTTTCTGTAGTTGTTAATCACTTCTTTAAGCCACTTAATAATTCTGCTTTAAGTCTGTCAGCTCCAGCCATTCTGTTAGTGCAAACGTTCAAAGTGTGTTGCATATTATGAAGCATCACAATCCACGTTTCTTATCACGAAGCCAAAGAGGAGCTACAGCTGGGATTTCAGGACACAGTGTGCTTTCAAAATCTGCGTCCTCTTGTTCCACATCACCTGCTGCCACTGGAAGTCTTTTGGACCTTCTGTTGTCCATACAAGATGAGCTGAGCCATATGAGCTTGTGAGTACTCATCCCTGGTGCTGTGAGTAAAAGTGAGTTCAGTGGCAGGCCTGTGAAGCTGCAGGTGTGCTATAGTTGAAACTAGCCTGGTTTTAAGAGTTTCTGCTTTGCTGACAAAATGGCCTGAGCAGGCCATTCTTTCTGTTCTGGTGTTAGTTAAACACCAAGCTCAGTTAGATCTTTTGAGCAAGAAACACACTTTTCTGCTGAGTTTCTTTGCTTCCACATCGGGTACTTAACCAAGCTGCTACTGAAGTAACAGCTGCAGCAAATGAAAAATCTTTAAGACCTGTGCTTTTTAGTGCAGATCTTCCTGCAGAAGGCTGCAAAGGTGGTGTTAATGTTGGGTAGGGTTGCAGTCTGTGTGGTAGAATAGGTTAGTATAGCTCTGGCAGGAATAGTCCTGTCACAACATCTAGCCTATTGCTTTGACCTCACTCTTTCTGCACTCTCTCCATTGATATGTACCTGATGGGTCTTTGTGGTGAGACAATCTGACCTTCATTCCCTTTCCTTGTGGGTAACAGGAGCACTTGCTAGTCCTGTAAAGGAGTTGTGAAAGAGGGATATGAATTAGATGGCAGTTCATGTGTCTTTCCAGCCATGCAAGTAAATGTGGATTACAAATTTTTGTGTTCTTAGGCACCTTCACATTAATGCAGGCTTGTATAGTCATGGGTCAAAGCTATGTAGCTGGTTGTAGTAGACATGCTGACATGGTGAGCCGTGGTTTGAACAGAGGAGGATGTGTTGGTTAAACCAGTTAGGGTGTTGACACTGATTTGAAATCCTTGATGTGGCAAAATCTCAACTGGCGGCCAGTGTCTTCTTCAAAAAGCAGTGTTTGGCTTACTCATGGCAGTTCAAGGACAGGCAGGGTTTTTTTTTCATAGCAGCAACCAGTTGCTTCAATTAAACTGTCAAGAAGCAGCAGTTGCTCAGAGGTCAGAAAAGCAGTAGTGACCTTTGAAAAGCCATTATTTATCTAAGAGATGGCTTCTGGGTTTGACTAGTTCAGATATCTAGATATCAAGCACATCTGCACAGTTTCTTTAAATTAAGCTGGTTAATTTAATTAACCACACTACACTGCAAATATTTTTGAGTAGAATATTTTAATTTGAGTAATCTGTCAGGAAAATTGTACTTTAAATGTACTAGTTTGAACAAAGCTTTTCTGTACTGCACTAGGCTTTCAAAGTCTGCACTAAATTGGACAGGAAGTGAAAGTACCGTATTGCATAGCTGCTCTTCATTTTCCAAATTCTCATTTTGCACACTATTACACATGTAGTTGTTATGACTGTTGCAATAGGGGGGAATAAGATGCACATTAGCTGCAAGTTTGGAACAAGAAAATCAGACCCACTGGAAAAACTTTTTCTTTTCTAATGCGAATATATTCCAGATTGATGTGTATTGTGCGAGAGGGTAGATAATGCTAAATTGCTGTACTCTGGACAAATTGGCTGGCAACTGCTGCAATACACCGAGAGTACTGGAAGAAATCCTAGAGACTCTATCATGAGTACTTAATGTGCCATTCCTGTCTCTAATAGTGAGCATCAAAAACTTCTGAAGAAGATACAGGAGACTGAAGACTCCAAAGTTCGTGAAGACCTAGAATGGGAGCTGGATTGCCTTGTGAAACAAATGGAGATTAAAGAAGAACAAGTAACCAAACTGAAAAAGCGTCAGGCTACTGTAAGAATGAAATGTAAACTCTCTAGCTAGTAACACACGAGTTGAAAGGGTGCCACAACTCTGCCTCCTGTTGTCATTAACTAGAATGTCACTGGAATGCTTAAGCCAGGATGTTCCAGTATGGATGATTATAATTAGACTGCTAGCTCGGTGTTCTTGTACCTCCAATTCCTTTTTCTGACCAAGAAAAAAGTGCCTACAGGTGGCAGCTTGGTATCTGTGCTAGGGGGAAAACTTCCTGCCCTGTGGCAGTTCTGCAATAAGAGAGCTGAGTTGCTCAGTCTGTTGCTTCTCGCTGTGTTGAGATTTCATTCCTTTGTATCTTGTCCCTCTGAGGAATGAGGAAATAGAAGCTATAATTCCTTTGCAGACTGGATTAAATATCTGTAATATTATTGACATATTAAAGCTTTTTATTAACCAAGTAGTCTGTTGACCACAGCTTCTCCAAAATCGTAGTCACACAAGTCTTTCAGTTTTGTTTAACCCTAACCTGTTCCCCTTTTTTTTAGAGCCATAGATAGCAGCATAAAATTACTCTTCTGTAGATGAACAGCTTAACCCTTTTGTAAAAATTTCATTTGGAACATATGATAAAAAAGGTAATCCATGTGGGACAGTTTTCTGTTCTTCCATCTTATATTTCTGGATAAATAGACTCACCTAAGAATTTTGCTTGTCCAGGAAACAAAACAAAACAAAACAAAACTCAGTGTGAGACCTTATGAAAGAGGGAGATGATAGTTAATTTAAATCTGACTGATTTTATTCATGATTTTACTCACATCTTTTATTGTCCATGTGATTGCAAGCACAAAGGTGCTTATGTCAAAGCAGAATTGTCAGAGTTGCATGTTAGGCATTGACTGTTGAGTCCTCACTGCCTCTCTTGGCAGTGTCAACTGTTTTCTGGATAAATCTCTTATATTCTTGATGAGCCAGCAGTTATGGTGGTGTTGTTTGCCTCAGAATCTTGCTGAATTCATCCTCCAGGAACCTGAGGCAACGGACTACAACTGCACCTTTGTTTCTTCCTTTCGCATGTCTTTGTGGCTACGCTCTGCCTTCATTTGGGGATGGTGAGAAGAGGAACAGCACATACAATGTGGTGCAACCTTGTTGTCATTCCTGCCTATTATCAGGGAGCAGATCTACTGACAAGTCAGCCATGCTCTGGTGCAGCCTTATCAGAGCACACGCCTTAGGGCCATGATGTAAATAGCACGTTCTTCATGTTTGTCTGATTACTGACCATCATATCCTGGTTATCAGTAGAGGCCACTCCTGTAACCTTTGGCCTATAGCATTTTGGCTGGTGCTATTGCACACAGATATTCCTATTTGTATTTTTTACAGACCAATCTTGATATTTCTGATGCATATTTCTGCTTTTAGAACCTGTCACACTAAAAATTCTGTAGTCATCTCTGTGTTTCACAGTTAACAATAAGTTCTAGAATGCAATTAAAGTTAATTATTTTTAGAAATGGACTTGAAGCCTAAATTGGCATATGGAACGCTTCCAGCCTAATTTTATCTTTGGGAGTGACCTTTTCATGCCAAGTGCAAGTCAAGACTTATTATTTGACATTTAAAAAAACATTCTTTAGCAATCAACCCTATTTAGTCTCTTTTCTAGTTTTTTATGAGGCTTCAAAGTCAACTGCTTCAATACAGTAACAGATAATAAACAGTATATATTTTATAGGTCTGTAGAGTGATTTATTTTTTTTGTTAGAGTGGTACAATCTGAAATGAAAAAAGATATTGTAAATGTAAATTGGTAGCAGATGACATTCTGTCTCTCTTAAGCATTTTTACCTTAGGGAGTGATGAAGTTCAAGAACCTACTGAGTGTGGATGAGGTCAGTTTTCTGTAATGGTTTCTGTGTGGGCGAGGTCCATTTTCTGCAGTGTTTTCAGTTACAGCAAGACAACTGTGTGCAAGATTAGTAAGTTTGAACTGGGTTACTGCTTTTTTTTTTTCTATATCCCTTGGACATCTTCAGTTTGGAGTTTGGTAGAAATCCAGTAAGATCTGCAGCTGTAGGTCTTCCAGTTATGTAGCATTCTAATTCGTGTTCTTTCTTCCTAGATGCAGAAATTAAAGAGAAGAACACAGAAACTGAAGCAAGGGGCAGCTCATGTCAAACTCAAGTGTGATGACCAAAGGGAAGTAAAGGATGTTGCAGTCGCTGAAAGGGAAAGTATGGCTAAACCTTGTCCTGGACAGAAAAGCAAAACCTCTCTTCAGCTGCTAAAAAATGTGCGAAAGCTTCAGTCAGCACTGAAAAAAGATGATATCATGTGGGAACGATAGTTTGAAGATTACTGTATTAGTTTTTTAAGTTGTCTGACAGTTAGTAAATTTTTTATTTCAGAAAATACCCTTTCAAAATAAAATTGGTATACATTCTAAACTGCCTACTGACTGGTAGGTCTGCTTGCTCATCTCAGAATTAACTTTAATGTAAGGTATCTATAACTGAGCTACATTGACTTGTGATAAGATGTTTTAATGGATTAATTTAATGTTTACTTGTTAACTTGTCAAATAAAATTCTATACCTTTTTAACACTTGAAATAGTATATGATCTTTGGTGTCCTGTTCCTCCCACTGCCAAGGAGATGCTTGGACCTTGCTTTTCCAGAGTGACTTGGGCTAGTGCTTGTGTTCAAAAAAACCCAGTGGATTTCTTTTTCTCTAATAACTGAAGATTAAGATGATTGCAACTGAGGCAAAAGGGATATTGTCCCTTATTTATATACACATTTTTGTTGTTTCTAGTATTATTACTTGATAAGCTTTACTGATAGTTTTAGTATTAGAGACAGCCTGGGGCTGGAAGGACAAACCATAACATGGTTAAACGGCAATGGCATAAGTTCGTTCTTTGTAAGTACATGGAAAGGGCCCCTACCAAAAGCTTGGACGCTTGTGTTCTCACCAGCAGAATCTGCTTCTACCGCAGTGTAAAATAATGGAGCTATCATAGAGGACATCGTACCGGTACGTGTTGTGGAATTTGTATACGCATACAAATGCAAGATGGATCTTTATGTTAATAGTCAGTTCTGCTCTTTTCCATCCTCCACTGTGTACATATAGTAAAAGATATCACTATGGCTTCAAATTGACACCGGTTATTTAGTTGCAATAAATTCTTGTCTTCAGGTTACTGACTGATACTGATTTTCCTGGGTGTTTGCATATATCAGCAAAAAATAGCTTCCTCAGGAGGTATTGGTGAAGTTTTGGTATAAAGAGAATGTTATGGTCTTCTTAAGCCCCTGTGCAGGTATGGATAAAAATTGAAGGCATGCTCTGTTGTCAAGGGTTTTGAGTAAAGACTAGTAACCATGTATGATCCTAATGGAAAGTTAGGTCTCTAGATCAGTAAGCTTTGTTCTGGCACACTTTAAGAGAAAGGATTAGGAAAATTTTAAGACAAATTTAGAACAAACGGTTACAATCTTTGACAGGAGTTGTGTGTGTGAGCTTTTGAGGGCAAGAGGGAAGTTTATAGGTACTAAATATCTTTATCAGGACTGTGGAAGACCAAGTTGTTCAACTGATATTTGGATCTGGGTTTCCTACACTCTTACATAGTATAGATATCCTTCCTATTATGGATTGTCTCTAGCCTAGATAAAGCATGTCGTATCCTTAAAAACACTTAACTACAGTTTTAAATGTGGTATTTTCCTGGTGTAGACAATGTTTCTGAGGTAGATGTATACATTTCTAGACACTGGAATTGCTGATACTGGAGACAAAAGAAAAGAAAGTAAAGTATTTCTGCTATTAACACTTGCAGATTGTAGGTACTCTGCTGCCACAAGATAAGCCTTTGCCATTTCTAGGGTAGTTAAATCCTCTCTGAAGCTCTCTACCTATGCGTGAGAGAGCAAGTGAGAAGTCTTAAGCCTTCCCTTAGGCCCTAAGGAACCTAAAGCATTATATTTCACCCAGAGATCCAGCCCTAGACAAAAAACATCAGGCAGTGGATCGAGAGAGAAAAATTGTCATCAATGTACCACAAATGCATAAGAACAGGTGGAACGGCTTTGAATGGCAGCAACGGCAGGAACGAGAGCGAGAAGTGCCCTGGGCTTGTGGCTGGGCATGGAGAGGCCGTTGAAGCTCCTGCAGCTTGGAGTTGCTATAGGACAGCTGGGCCTGTCTGGGCAGGGAGCAGCACATCAATCACCTTCTGCCTCTGTGCCCTGGCCTGGTATTTTTGTTGACTATAGAAACCCAGGGAGAGCAGGGCAATTTGGGAGCTGGTGAAGGAGGGCCCCAACTCGTCCCTTGGACAAGCGGCTGCGGTGGAGAGCAGCTTTGGATCCGTCAACCAGGTACTGGGCAGGGCAGTGCTTAAATGGTGAAAGCATTGAAGAGTCAATCTTCAAAACATGCGTGCTGACGGGCTGTCCAGTTGCAGAATAAAACTGCTCTATTTGCCTTTCTGTGAGGTGAATGGCTGGAGGAAAGTGGCTGGAGGAAAGGAGAAACAGCTGAACCAGGTCCTGTTGGCAGCTGGATATCTTGCATCTCTGCTTGCTTTGGGAAGATGAAGCTCTCCTGCTTGGAGCCAGGAGCTGAAATTTGAGAGAGGAAAGTAGGGGTGGATGATATGCGAGCTTACATTAGTTGACAGAGGTGCATCACTTGTATTTCAGCTCAGAAGGTATTGTGCTGCCTTTTTTTTTTCTGAAGCTTTTATTTCTCTAATGCACATCCTTTCACAAGCTACAGCAAAGCAGATGCGCTTCAGAGAGTCAAACCGGTTACAAAGGAAGTGTATCCCAAACAAGTTGTTTTTGCTTGAAGAACTGGAGAAATTTGTTTCCAGATTGTACTGGGGGGAGGGAAGGCTAAGACAGGTGATCAGCTTATGTATTTATTTATTAGCATATTCACAGTTTGAGGCAATCGTCAGTCACATGCACTGAATAATTCTGTAGAAACTGCTGTGGTGAAGTTAAGCTTGTGCACAAGTGTTGGCGAGGTGTAGCTTTGTAGGAATTAGGCAGACAGATTGCAACGAGTTTTGCTGAAATTTGAATGCTTCACTTCTTATGCTCCAGGAAAGTTCTGGAACTCCATAAACATACATTTGGAGAAAGTGCAGTGGTCAGAGCAGGCTTCTTCAAAACAATAATATGTTTTGGCTTAATAAGTGCTTGCTCTACTCTTTGACAGATCCTTCTTTTGATTTATATCCTGCATGTTTCTGTTCGTGTCCTCAGACAAAACTGTATTTTCTTTTTTTTATGAACGTTTTGAATCTAGCTGTACAAGGCAGCAGACAAAACCACACAGTGGTCCCAAAAAACCCTAATTTGTTTATTTACTCAAAATCCAGGGGTTTTTTAAGCTGATTTATGCAAATTCGCCACAACAGATTTTGTTAGTATTTGAATCTAGGGTCATATTTTATAGCTAGACATTAAGGAAATTGGACAAAAGATGTAGGTCAAATGGTATAATTACAAATACAGATCAGCAAATTGTATCCAACAATAGTTCACTTTCCTGCTGCTAACAAAATATGCTAGCACAAATTAATGGCTTGTTACTTAAGTCTGCTGGAAAGACTGTCCTAGTACAAAAGGCATTCAGTTTGAGCCTGTGTGTTACAATCTTCCAACCAGCAAAGCTGGAGGTTAGACATAGCTATAAATCCAGTGTGTTCTGGGAATAGAAGCTGGCAAAAACACTCTCAGCAAAATAATCAGGGAAGGATCTTGCTGGGATTTGGATGCTGGCTAATGTAATTAAGTGCAGATGTTTATGTGGACCAAAAGACACTCCCAGAATAAGAATACTGTGCAAATACAGGATGATTTTTATAGCAGAAAAAACAAGGAAGTGGGGATAATTAAACATATGCTCTTAGTTCTGATGAAGCATTTTCTGTTTTCCTCATTTTTGCCTGTGCTGAAGTGGGCAAAGCTGCGTCTACCATATGCCCTGCTGGGACCTGTGGATGCAAGTCACTTGGGTTGCAGCCCTGGCGCTTACCTACAAGCCTCCACGGGATCCCTGTGTGGGTCTCATAGTCTCTCTTCTGTCAGCAGAGAAGCAAATATTTCTGAAAGCTTGTTACCTTCAGGTAACAGCTAAAACAGGTCGAATGAATCTTTTCCCAAATGCCTGGTTCCCTCTACTGACTATGAAGGGCGTCTGGAGTGACTGGTGAGACTAAATGAAAGTACTTATGATGTACAAAGAGTTTGGCCAGACATGTTCTGATGAAACCTGGAGCTCTTCCCTCTGATTTCTGGGAATCCTGCGTTAGCATTTTAAAATCTTCAGAAGTACTGGCTAAGTCCGGGGCTGATGACAACCTGGGAATCCTACGCATTGCCCTGCATATTTCCTCCAGTTTTCGTGTCAGCCCCTTGTGCACTGATCTAAATGTGGGTGCCTGTCCTGAGAACAGGCTTACTGTAACCACTCGTTGTGAGTAGCCTCACTAGTCTGAAACTGGGAAAAGTGACAGTGCCTTTTGTGGTTCAGGAAGGCAGAGTCTACTGTAGTATTTTATTTTGCTGGTACTTAAGATGTCTTCTTCTTGCAACCTGACTTTATTTATGGGAAGCTTTACTGTTTTGCCAGAAGTTTTGTTTTATACTAAGAAATGGTAACCTTATAGTCCCACTGCAACACTGCTAACTAAACTTCTGTGTTCCCCAAAAGCTAAGTAGTTTACATTGGTTTTACAGTCATGTCTGAATTATTTTTATCTGAACTCCATTGCCTGCATAATGGCATCTTTTCTCTTGGTTCCTTTAAATTTGTATAGCAGAAGAAATACTTGCTCTTTATTTTCCTTAATGATTTTTAATTTAGCTGGTATTTCTTGCTGTAGTTCTGGCATTGATTTTTTTGTTTTTTCCCCTGTTGTGGTTCTCTGCCTAATCTTGATGACTCTTTGGTCAGCTCCACCACCCTCACTTCCAACTTCTTCCCTTGGCTTTTATTTTGAGGACAAGTTCCAGTTATTTTTTACCACTGATTTAAAGTCTCTCAGCTTCTCTGATGTTAAAATCCTTGAGGATTTAGTTGCATTTGACTTTTCTAATTACATTTATAAATTTCTCTAAATTAGAGCCTTTTGGGTTTTCTTAACACTTTACAATCAGGTCTCATTTTGTTCTTCCATTCTAACCCAGATTATGTCCATTTCTCTAATCTTCTCAATGCTTACCAGCACTGTCTGAAATACCATCTACATTCAGTGACTAACTGAAGACGTTTGTAGAGCACAGCAGATTTTTTTTTAAGACTAATCTATGAAAAATCTTTATCT